TGTCCCTCTCCAAGGACCCGTCCCTCCTGGCAACATGTCCAAAGTAGGTCAGACAAAGCTTCAGAATCCTTGCCTCCAAGGAGCAGTCTGGCTTCACTCTCTCTAGGAAAAACTTGTTTGTTCTCCTAGTAGTCCATGGCATATTCAGTACTCTTCTCAGCACCACAGCTCAAAGGCATCAATTCTACTTCTATCATCCCTAGTCTTGTCCAACTTTCTTATGCATAACACGTATTTGGGAAGACCGTGGCCTGGATAAGGCATACCTTAGTCTGACATCGTTGCTCTTCAGTACTCTGGAGAGGTCTCTGAAAGCAGACTTTCTCAATGCAATTCATCTTTTGAGTTCCTGACTGCTGGTATGAAGAGTGTTGTTTGTGGAGCCAAGTAAACAAAAGCTGTTCACAATCTCAATCTCTTTACCATCTATCATGATGCTGCCAATTGGCCCAGTGGTGAGAATCTTTGTTTTCTTGATGTTGAGCTTCAATCTATATTGAAAGCTGCAGTCATTGACCCTTTGTAGCAAGTGCTTCCTTTGGGTCCTCCTCAGTTTCAGCAAGCAGGGTTGTGTCATCTGCATAACACAGGTTATTGATGAGTTTTCCTCCAATTCTGATGCCACATTTCTCCTCATAGAGCCCAGCCTCCTGATGATCTGTTCTGTCTATAGGTTGAAAAGGTATAGAGATAGGACACATCCCTGGAATACACCCTTTCTGATTTTAAACCATGCAGTGGTTCCTTGCTCTGTTCTGATGACTGCCTCTTGGTCCAAGTATAGCTTTCACATAAGCCAATCAAGTGTTCTTGGATTCCTATTCTTCTCAGAGTTAGCCACCATTTATTGTGATCCACACAGTCAAATGCTTTTGCATCGTCAATGAAATACAGACAGACATTCCTAGAAACAAATAAAAAACAATGCCATCAGTGTACCAAAGTCATGTAAAGTTTTAAAGTTGTGGAAGAGGAGAGAAAGGCAGGAAAAAATTGAGAAAGGCTAATATTTTGAGCTTTACTGAATTTTAAACAGGTTTGAGGTATACAAGTGAAAGGGAGAATGGGTACATCCCTAGAACTCCAATGGACAGAAATATTGTATCTCCAGACCCTAATGTAGGTACCATTAATTTCAATGAGTAAGTGAATTTTTCCTGGTACATTTCTCAGTATAGGGCCAAGATATAAAAATTTAATACATTTCTGGGTATAGAGCCAAGATGTAAATATTTGCATTAGCAATTTTTAGTGACTCAAAAACATCTTGAACAGTGTCAAAAGAAAACTGCAAGAAATTCAGGCAGGATTCAGAAGAGGCTGACATAGGGATATAATTGCTGATGTCAGATAGATTTTAGCTGAAACAGAGGCATCAGAAATACATTTATTTGCATTTTATTGATTATGCCAATGAATTTGACTTTGTGTATCATAACAAATTATAACATTGAGAAGAAAGAGAATCCCAGTGCACTTATTTGTGCTCATTCAAAACCTATGTTGTTGTTGTTATGTGCCTTCGAGTCACTTGCGACTCATAGCGACCCTATGTACAACAACCCTAAACTCTGCTCTGTCCTGTGCCAATCACACTGTCTCTGACACTCCCATCCCGATTAACCCAGTCACTGAATCAATCCACCTCATAGAGGGCCTTCCCCTCCTGTGCTGTCCCTCCACCCTCCCAAGCATGATGTCCTCCAAGGACCGGTCTCGCCTTACAACATGTCCAAAGTATGTTAGACGGAGCCTCAGAATCCTTGCCTCCAAGGAGCCACCCGGTTTAACCCTTTCCAGGATTAATCTGTTTGTTTTCCTAGCAGTCCATGGTACTCTCAATACTCTTCTCCAGCACCACAGCTCAAAGGCATCAATTCTCCTTCTATCTTTCCTGGTCATTGTCCAACTCTCTGATGCATAACAAGTGATTGCAAAGACTATGGCCTGTATCAGATGCCTATACATAGATCGAAAAGCAGTTGTCTGAACAGAACAAGGGAACACTGGATAGTTTAAAACCAGAAAAGATGTGACATATCAGGGTTATATCTTTTCTCCATGCCTATTCAAGCTGTATGATGAGCAAATAATTCAAGAAGGTGGCATCATTCATGTGGCATCAGAATGGGTAAAGGATTCATCAACATAAGCTTTGTGCAGATGAGACAACCCTTCTCACAGAAAATGAAGAGCACTTGAAGTACTTACTGAAGACAATAAAAGACATCAGCCTTCAATATGAATTATATCTCAGCATCAGAAAACAAAAATCCTCGCTATTTGACCAATAGGCAACAGCATAACAGATGGAGAAAAGATTGAACCTGTCAATGATTTAATAATCCTTGGATTCACAGTCAACATTTGTAGAGCCTCTAGTAAGTATGAAACCCAAGAGAGTGTCTTTGGGTTAGCAGCGCTCATGAAATTTAAAGATGTGTTGCATTGAGGAAATCTACTGTCAAGGGTCAGTTTAGAGTCTAGTATGCACTTGATCCAAGCCATAGTATTTTCAATTATTTCTATTGCATACAAAAGTTGGACAATAAATAAAGAAGGGTGGCAAAGAACTGATGCCTTTGAACTGTGGTGTTGGAGAAGAGTATTGAATATATAGTGGATTGCCAAAAAAAAAAATATATAAAAACAAACAAACAAAAAAACCAAGAGAAATTTGTCTTGAAAGAAGTGCAACCAGAATGCTCCTTTAAAGACAGGGATGGTGAAATTTCATCTCACATACTTTGAGTACATTGTCGGGCTGTGTTAGTCTTTGGAAAAAGACATTATGTTGGAAAAGGTGGAGGATCAGAGAAAGCGAGAAGGATGCTTAACAAGATTGATTGACACAGTGACTGTAACACTGGACTAGAGACGATTAGAGGTCATGAGGATGGTGCCAGATAGGGCAAGGATTCAATCTGTTGTTCATAGAGTCAACTCGACTGCACCTAACAACAACAACAACAACAACAACTTTTCAGTGTCATGTGCTTCTGGAAATAAAATCGCTAAAAAGAAGTCAACTCCTGCCTGAAACTAAGTAGACATAGGTGTACAAAGTGAGACAAAATTTTACCATCTTTGCCTCTAAGGAGCACTCTGGTTACGCTTCCTTCAAGACAGACTTGTCTACTTTTTTTGCAGTGCTCTTCTCCAACACCACAATCCACAGGCACTGATTCTTCTTTCTTCTTTTTTATTCATTATCCAACTTGCAGATGCATGTGAAATAACTGAAAAGACCATGGCTTGGTCTTTAAACTGAAGGCATTGCTCTTTAGAACCCTGGAGAGGTCTTTTACAGATTTCACTAGTGCAACATGCCTTTTGATTTCTTGACTCTCACTACCATAGGTGTTGGTTGGAGACCTAAGTAAAATGAAATTGTTGGCAGTTTAAATCTTTTTTCCATATAGCATGTTGTTGTCCACTGATTAAGTGGTAAAGATGTTTGTTTTCTTGAAATTGAGATATAACTCGTATCGAAGGCTTCAGTCTTTGATCTGTAGTAAATGCTTCAGGTTTTCTTTACTTTCTGCAAGAAAAGTTGTGTCCTTTGTACAAGACAGGTTATTGATGTTTCTTCCTCCAATATTGATGCCACATTTTCCCTCATATAGTCCAGCTTCTCAAATTATTTGTTCAGCATACAAACTGATAACAGAACTGACACAGGAGAAAAAAAAAATAAAAAACCTTGATGCACATCTTTACTGAGTTTAAACCACACAGTGTTCTCTTGTTCTGCTGTATTGCTTCTTGGTCTGTGTAGAAGTTTTGAATAAATACAATTAAGTGTTCTGGGCTTCTCATTCTTCTCAATGTTACCCATGTCCCCATTTCCACATGAGAAGGGTGATCCAACAGAATGTTTATCAAACAATGTCATTAATATCACATGTACATAAACTCTTGCTGCACATCATCCTGGAACATACTGGAACACCATACTGGAACAGTATCTCAATAGAAGAGTGCCAGGAATTAAAGCTGGATTCAGAAGAAGCCATGGCACAAGGAATATCATTGCTCGTGTTAGTGGTTCTTGGCTGAAAGCAGAGAATAAACAGAAAGATAATGTTCGCTAGTGTTTTGTTGATTGCTCAAAGACATTTGACTGTAAAGATCATAACATGGAGAAAAATCCAATTTAGATGCCATTTCTTTTCCTTTATTAAAGTGTGCTGTGACTGTATTTCCTCCCCTTACTGCCTCTTCTCACTGAGAAGTAATAGCTGTGTTCTTTTATTATAAAAATATCACATACCACAGTGTATTGTTGATATTTCTTTCCGATGTTATACCTTAAGATCCTTGAGAAAAAGAAAGGCATCTTTTTCAGCATTCTTTGCATATCTTTCAACTAACATAGTGTTTCACTGAAGGCATAATGTAGAGAACTGTTACAGTGTACGGGTAAATGAATGTATGAATCAAAGGAAAAATGGTATCAACACTAAATTAATTGTGTATGTAGATACTAACAGAAGTGAGAACTTGCAAGAAAAATGTATCTCTATTTGGAACAAAATGTCACTAATTGTTGAAAATAGGAGTGGTTTGTGAGTTAATATTATTGAGTACCAAGCCCTATGCTTAAATATATACATGTATAATTTCTTTATATCTAAAATTCTGAAAGAAAGATTTCATTATTCCCACCTTCTTGATGAAGAATTGAAGCCTAGAAAGTTTAAGTAATTTTCCCAAGGTCACAAAGCATTTAACACTCAGATCTAAGGGACTCGAAAGCCCTGTTTCTCTCATCCTTCACTGACACTCAAGCCTCAGAACTTGGCAAGAAGAAGATGAAATTTCTGATGTCCTAAATTTTAACGTGTCCCTAATTTAAAAAAAAAAGATATTAGAAATGTGGAAAAGTTCAATGTATTTAAGTTGTCCTGAACAATTTTTATTTTAGTATTCTCTAAATGTATTTAATTAGAGCAACTAATTTGTCTCTTTTACAGAAGCCATTCCAGAGTTGACCGTTCATGGCATATACTATGAGAGAATACTCATTGCTATTTGTTTTTATAATTATGTGGCTGTTGGTTAAAGCTGAAATAGGTAAGATGTTGCTATACGCTAATCTGTGAAAAGATTTGTAGTTTAAACTCTTAGTTACATTTATAATGTGCACTTCTGACAATGGTTCTATGGGAAGCTCTGGGCACCTAATGAGCAGAGTTGTGCTGCCAACCCAAGGGCAGGCAGTTCGAACTCAACAGCTGCTCCATGGGAGAAATATGAGTAATCTCCTCCCATGAAATTTATGGCCCCAAAAAACCTGTTGGACGGTCAGCAACAAATTGGTTCTGACTCGATGAGTTGAGAAGTAAACATTCTGGTGTTTCGTAGTCAATCTCGGTGTCATTTAAGTGGAAAAGTTTGGAACTATGTCACTATTGTGGTTTTAAACATTTTATGCTAATTATTAATGTAAGAATCTAATCACATCATATGGAGCTCTAGCGGCCAAGTTGTAATCACTGGCCATAATTTTGACTTTTTATCACATAATTAACTCCTAGGAAGGTGGTTAGACACTGGAGCTAGGCATCATAAATACATATTTTACTTTACAGTTCATTTTAACAAGAGGATTTTCACAAATGAGTGCAATTATGCGAAAATAATAATAATAATAATAACAACGGCATTTTCCTTTTTTGGGAGGTTAGTTTGACTTCTGGCATTTGAAGAAGACAAAATATATCAAAGAAGCAGAAAACAAATCTCAGTCTGAAAAAGAAAAACTTTTTATTAAAAATGTTTTATTAGCACGTTTATTATATTTCAATAACTTCTTTACTAATTCCTGTGTGTGGCAGTTTAAAATCAAAGCAATTTTACTACTCAATAATGATTTTCAATGAAGACTGAATCACATCCAAAACTGGTGACTGAATCTCTACTTTTGAAGTTCTTGTTATCAACAGTTAGTATATGCTACAAGCAACTATTAATTTCTGAATAATGTTGTTTTATATTATCGGGTCAGAACCAATCTACAGCTGACCCTTCAGCAGGTGTTCAGAGGCAGTTAATCTCATAGGAGGAGACGGTCCATCTTTCTCCCATGGAACAGCTGTTGGATTCAAACCGTGTACCTTTGGATTGCCAGTGCAACTCCTTGTTACTTGGCCACCAGAACTCTAAGCAACAATTTTTAGGAATTTTAGTGGCCTAGTGACAAGAAATTGCGCTGCAATCCCAAAGGGATGAGGTTTGAATCCAGTAGCTGCTCCGCTGGAGAAGGGTGGACAAACTCCTCCCGTGCAATTTTGTGCAATTTACTGTCTCTGAAAACCCACTGGAGGTTTAGCTATGGGTCAGTTCTGACTTGACGATACACAACAACAACGGTTTCATAATAGTATTATTTATTTATAGGAAAGCTTCTGGGAAGTAGAAGCAACCTTTCTTCTAAATGAGAGTTGCATATGGTATCTGGCATATGGGAAATAGTATGGAGAACTTTTTCTAAAAAGAAATATATTTATGTGATCTTACATTAGTTATATAGGATAATGTTTTGTCCAACCCAGAGCCTTATCTTCTTGAAGGAATATCAAAATATCACCCAGGAAGACCCTATTTACATCCATGATGATAACTATTAATATGCAATAGAGCTCTGGTAACCTAATGGATAAGGAGTTGTGCTGACAACCCAAAGGCACGAGGTTCAAATCCACAGGCTGCTTCTCAGGAGAAAGATGGGCAATCTCTTCTCATATGAGTTATAGCCTCTGAAAACCTGCTGGAGGGTGCGCTATGGGTTGGTTCTGACTCAATGACAATGAGTTGATTTCTTGAGGAGACTAACACACCAGAGTCTCAAATATTTTCTGTCTGTTATAATACAGTCTTCTATATTACATGTGCTTTTATAGCAGGAGTGCTCCTAATACAGCATGAGAAGGAATTCTTAAATTGCCCTTAAAATCTATAATAGCCATTTAGAACTTTTTTGGTATGATGTTTAAATAAACATTGTAAATGATAAATGATTGTAAAAGCAAATATGATTTATTCTTATTCTGAGAAGCCCTGTTTAGTAACCCAGTGAATGATTTATATATACTAGAGGTTGAACGTTCCTGGAACTGTGCTTCTGCATGTTTTAAAACCCTATTTTCTCACCACTTTCTTGTTACAGTATGGTTTATAATATTATTGTTTTGAGAAGGATGCCTCTTTTAATTCAAATACAGTTAGACTTTAACACAACTGCCTGCTAGTCTCATTATATACCACATACAGCCAGAACAGTGTGGATTATGTATATGTATATATCCATGATGTGAAAGGGATTTCATTCCGCCATTGGGAATTACATAAACTCTGCAGTCTGAAATGGACTTTTATGTGCCAGCTGAGTGCTGTATTTATCTTATTTTAGATGTGTGCAAGAATGGAGACGTGACTGTGAAGCCTTCCCATGTAATTGCACTTGGATCAGCTGTGAATATTTCGTGCTCATTGAATCCCAGAGAAGGCCGCTCACGCCTTTCCAGTTCTGACAAGCTATTCCTCTACAAATTCAATGAGGCAATTTACTTTCAGAATAGTAGCTCCCTCAGTTTTCAAGTCACTGGCCTTCCCCTGGGAAAAACCTTGTTTCTCTGCAAGCTGGACTGTGGCAGGAGGAATAAGGATCCAATATGTGGGGTCGAGATCTTCGTTGGTGGTGAGTATTCCATTCAGAGTTCCTAAATATCCATGTACTATTGTTCTTGTGGCATGTGCACTAGAAACCTAAATAGAAAGCAATTTTTCTTCTTCTCATAAATATCTTGTTAACAACAGAGAGGATCTCAATGTGAGGGGTCCAGAAATCAGTTGAATTGGCAGCTTGTTTGTTTTATTTGTTTTCTTTGGGCCCCAATCATACAAAATTGGCATTTTTGCAGCTCAGTCTTTAAGTCTTTTTGACTTGAGATTTTGTTCAAAGATACAATCTCCAATGGTAAAAAGAAAGGAATATGTTTCTCTTTATTAAGTCAAGATTGACTGACTATACAAAGCTGAACACCTTTCCTTGTCTCTGGCTTAATGCATAAAGGTCAGTTTCTAGAAATAAGTACATAAATAAGACAAAAGTAAAAGTACAAATCATGTTTTAAGAATTTTGTAAAAGGAGGGCTTCTGACCTTCATCATTGTCTTCCAATCACAATCACCTTGACCATTGGTTATCATACATAGAGGAGGTTACAAGAGGTCTATTATCATACATAATTATCTTTTCCTGGGTTCTCTAGAAAACTGCCGGGGACAAAAATTAACATGCTAACAACACTTTTTTTGGAAAGGAAAGGGTACATTCATGGGAGACAACGTGACAGAGTAAACCAAGAGAGAAGGAAAAGCAAGCAAATACGAAAGGGTTCATTTCCTGACTTGCCACAGCACTGACAGAAGACACTGCCGTTTGCTGGGCCACCAGGGCATTCCCAGCAAGACCACAAGGAAATGCAATGACAACAAAAGAGAGAAGGATTTGTCTGACTCTTGTTGATCAAAGTTATCCCCCAGAGCAACAAGCTGACACTGCTGAGTTGTCCTGGTCTCTTGAGACAGCTGATGAGGAGTAAGAACTAAAACACCAGACATAGTGTCTGTAGCAGGAGCCACAGAGCACAGAACAAGCCAGCAGCATTGCGTGTAGCCTGCAGCCAGCAGCCCGCAGCCTCAAAGGTCCAACCAGGCAAAGCAGTGAGCAAGTATAGCTTTTAGTGATCCCATGTGCCCTGTGCTTCAGTTGCTCCAGAGCAGCTCTAGAATGGAGGCAAGAGGCAGATTAGAACTAAGAGGAGTTGCTGTTTCAGCCAGGTTTGCCACCATGCAAGGTTAGGGTCTCTGTTACAAAGGAAGCTACATGGTGCTCAGCGAGATTCTTGCCAGGAAAGATGGAAGCCTTTTTTTCTGGGACCTCGGAGGATATGGCTGGTGCCGGGCAATTTTTTTCAGAGTCAACAAAAGCACATGACCAATCAAATCAGTAGTCATGAGAAGAGTGAGATCACTGCAGTACTCCTCTGCCAGTTCAGGACCTCCCCTTCACACTCGTAGTGTCATGTACTGTCAGTCTAGACTGCCTGTGAAGTGAAAAGGAGCTTGAGTTGTGACTCCTAACCCTGCCCCTATTCTTTCTGTCTTTGAGATTTTAAACCACATGAAGTTTTTTGCATTATTACCGCATTCCAAGATGAATGAAGCATACACATATGCTCAACCTTTACTCAACTTACAGTCTCTGAGCCTCAATATCTCGATTTGTGTTGTGGAGATGGTGAACATCAACTGCATAAGATGACTGTAGTGATTGAATGACACATTGTCTACAAAGCCCTTAATGGAGAGCCGGGCACCTAGGTGGTGAGCACTAGGACTGCAATTTCATCTCATTTTATTCTTTTCTTCTTTGTGTATCATTCTGGCTGTCTGTGCATGTTTCCGTACAAGAAAATACAAACACTGGTTACACTTAAAATTTAAAAAGACAAAAAGAAAACTATACCCTTGGTCTTTCTCTTGTGCTCACAACACTTGAATATTTCATCCAGATGTTTCTCTGTCTTACCAGAACAATAGTATGTATTTAAGACATTGTTGGTGCACTGATATCTGATCCAGGTGCATCCAGTGCTGCTGGTGTTTTCATTCTTTTTCTTCTGTAGAAAAAAATATTTTCTTTTTGCAGACAAAAACCATAGTTTTTGTAGGAAAAACCCCACATTTTATAGAAAGCATTCTTGGCAATCAATTCCCTTAAAGAAGCATTTAGCCTTTTTATTGGATAAATAAGAGTATTTTTGTGGACATTTGAATAGGGAGTTTCACTGCCAACCTAAAGGTGGACTGTTCAAATCCACCAACTCCAGTCCCCCAGGAGAAAGATGGACCATTTCCTCTCATAAGATTTGCAGCCTCTGAAAATCTACTGGAGCGTCAGTTCTAACTCGACAGCAGTGAGTTGAGTTGAATTGATCTATGTTGAGACACTGAGTTGACATATGTTAGAATACTGTGATGTGATCCCTTTGCAGTTGTTGCTTTTCCTTCCAGTGCCCATGGTTGTATTTATGATAGTTTCTAGGACTCACAGGTCTAGGGAGAAAGCAAATTATCTCTGACCTGATGCAGCTCAGCTGGATGGTACTGCCAGAATGTTTCTTGCGCAACAGGAGCAAGTGGTAACCACACAATAAAAGGACTTCTTTTTGAGCAAATTTAGCACCTTTGAGGTGGAGGACTGACTGGAAGCAACACCTTTTCTGAGTATAGTCAGTCATTCCAAGAAAAGAAACAATGAATTTTGGTTCCACCTGGGGTGCTGTGCTCAATCTTATTTAGTGGGGGAGTTAACAGTGTGTTCTCTTTTTTGGTAAGTGGTAGTCCATGGTGCCACCACATGTCGTGACAGGGCCCATCATGAAATTGGCTGGGTTTTGATAACTGGAAATAGACAGGTCACCTTTTAGCCTTTTCTTCCTGTCCCTTTCCCCAGCTTGAGCTGATCACCTAGATTATACACAATAACCTAACTTTGCCTCAAGAGTGATTCACAAACCATTTACATAATCAAGGCAGTAAGAGAATTCTTTCTTGGTGGTTCTTAATCAATGCTTCAAAATCAAGCCAAATCCATTGTCCATGAGCTGATTCTAATTCATAGCAAGTCTCTATCAGGTTTCTGAGGCTTTAAGTCTTTACAGTATCAAAAAGAATTAGTTGACAGTGATCTGTTTCAGAGAGTAGCATGTGATTAAGAACCAATAGTATTAAAGTAGTATAATGAAATACGCAAGGAGCTGGAATTAGGAAACCAAATGTGAAAAACACACTCAACATTGATTGCTCAAGCTGAAAGAACTGAAGAACAAATTCAAGTCTTGACTGCAATGCCGAAGGATTCTATGGACAAAATTTTAAATGATGCAGAAAGCATCAAAAGAAGATGGGAGGAATATACTGAGTCACTGTACCAGAAAGAATTGGTTGACATTGAATCATTTCAGAAAGTAGTATATGATCAAGAACCTATAGTACTGAAGGAAGAAGTCTAAGCTGCACCGAAGGCACTGGAAAAAATAAAGGAATTGATGAAATAGCAATTGAAGTGCTTCTGGAAACAGATTTAACCCTGATGTGCTCACTAGTCTCTGCCAATAAATACGAAAGACAACTAACTACCTTACCAACTAACTGGAAGAGATCTGTAATTGTTCCCATTCCAAAGAGGGTAATTCAACCAGCTGTGGAAATTATTTAACAATATAATCATTAAAATCACACGCAAAGTCTTGCTGAAAATGAATTTTTAAAAAATGGTTGGAACACTTCAAAAGGGAAACTTCTAAAAGGTAAAACTGGATTCAGAAGAGGCTATGGAATGAAAGATAACATCATATCTGTTAAATGGCTCTTGGCTGAAAGAAAACATGTGCTTTATTGATTATTCAAAGCATAAAGAATTCTAGATAGCACTGAGAAGAATAGAAATCCCAGAACCCTTAAGGGTATTCATGGGAAACCTAACACAGACCAAGAAAAAGCAGTCCAAATAGAGCAAGGGAACACAATATAGTTTAAAATCAGAAAGGTGCAGAAGTTCAGGCATTTTGCATTTCAATCGTTCATCAAAAGACCCTAGGAAGAGCGAAAGGTAAAAATGCTGGGTTAAATATATGTGTTTACTTTCATTCCTCATAAAATATCAGTCAAGATTACAAAAATTTTAAGTGGTATAAATTTTCAAGGGCAAAATGCAGAAGCGGAAAGAATAACAGTATTTTGGAAGCCAGAAAGCAAGTGGACCAACGACAATTGACTTTGCCTTCAGTTGATAGTAAGAAAAATCATGATACAACTTGATTTAAAGCAGAAGTCCTCCTCAGCCAGAAAGATTCAGAAATTGGTGGCACCAGACAGTTCTTGGAGTGAGGGCAAAACAGGAGGCTTGGCAGAAAAATCCATTTTAAAAAGCAATTATAGGAACTTTAGCTCCCTAGTTAGAGAACTCTGGTGGTGTAGTCAGGGGAGTTCTGCTGCTAATCCAAAGGCTACATCTCTTTGGGATTCAAGTCCACTAGAGGCTCCTCTCAGAAAGATGAGCAATCTCTTCCTGTGCATTTTACAACCTTGAAACCCAGCAGAGCTATGAGCTAGGCCCAACCATGTGACACAGAGAGAGAGAGAAAGAGAGGGAAGGGGGGGGGAGAGAGAGATGAGGAGCGTGAGAAAGGGACCCCTATTTAAAGAACTCTTATTCCAAGTTCTTTATGCAAACTAAAAGGGCAACAGTTCAAATCCACCAGGTGTTCCAAGAGACGAGATGGACAATCCGCTCCTGTGAAGATTTACAACCTTGAAAACACAAATGGAGAGTCATCATGAGTCAGAATCGACTCAAGGATGGTGGGTTTGGTTTGGGTTTTAGTTTCCTAGTTGGCAGTAGCATACTGATAACCATGGCATTAAGCATGTGTTTACATGCAGCTCTCTTTCTAACTCAGCTTCCAGGATACCGGCAGCCTGATCTTTACTCTCCAGAGAGGTACAGTTAACATGCTCAGATGCTAACTGAAAGGGTGGCAGGGGATATAAAACCCTGGTAATTTACTTGCTAAAGAATCAGCCGCTGGAAGCTTTGTAAAGCACAAATCTCTTCTGACACACACAGGACTACAGTGAGTCTAAGTCACCTTGAGGGCAACTTGTTTGAATATTTGAATTAGTGTCACTCTAAAAACTAATTCACCATCACTTGAAATGAGTGGACGGACAGGTGTCGGATGGTCACCTTGAAGAAAGAACAGAAGAAAGTCAGGGTGAAAGATTTGCATTTAAGGTGCAGCACCCAGACTCCAGCCCGATTCTTCCACTTCGTAGCTTTGTGCTCTTGGGAAAGCTACTTAACCTCTCTAAGCTGAAGTTTCCTTGTTCATTAAATGAGGCCAGTAATAGGATCTACCTCTTATGGCTCCTTTAACGTCTAATTGAGAAAAACAGTATACAAAATACTTATCCTTAGGATTGGCTTACACTGTGTCTAACACATTTTCACTGTTGTTGTTTGCTGTCAAGTTGCAATGGACTCACAGCTGACCCTCCAATGACTTTTTAAAGGCTGTAAATCACAATGGGAGGAGATTGCCCAGCCTTCTCCCACAGAACAACTAGTGGATTCAAACCGCATGCTTTTGGAATTGCCACACAATTTCTTACTACTAGGCCATCAGAGCTCTGGAGTACTACACTAATGAAACAGATTTTACTAGTGTTACTAATGTTATCAGAAGAATTTATGCACTAAAAGTAACTTTGAACTTGATAGAGTCTATCATGCCTCTCAGTTCATCTAGCTTTGGGATATTCATGTAGTATTTAAAATAAGAGTTTTCTTTCTCTCTTCTTTTTTAAAGTTATTCCAGAACAGCCTCAAAATGTATCCTGCACACAGAAAGGAGAGCATGGGACGGTGACTTGTACTTGGGACAGAGGAAGAGACACCCACCTATATACTGTCTATACTTTGCAGTAAGTGAGAGCTGTGGTTTTGTAGCTCTTTCGCAGCATTTCTTATATTTGACCTTCAAAGAAATTCAACATATAATAAAAATAGTGCAACCGACAATTTATGATAATGAGATCCTTTAAAAAAAAACAATCTAATGTATATCGATTACAACTTGTCCATTCACCTAAAGTATAAATTTTATATAATAATCTTAGTCTTAGAGCTAACTTAGAATGCTCATTGGAGCAGTCAAGCCCAAGTTTGGGGTGTTTTTCCCTGGCCTGCTAGGGTTAAACTGACTGTGTAATATTGTTTCCCTCATTTGTAGAGAACCCTTGGCATAGTGATATGTAAGTTGATTCTTCTTTGAGGGGACTTCCTGTTAGCCTTGGAGGAATTTCTTTATAAAGCTCCTTTTCCTAGCCCGAGATATCTGAAGAGTTGATGGTTTGTTCATTCCAAAGATTTTGCGGTTTCTACTAGATGGCCTCAAATGACAAGTGACAAGGAGATAAAGGAAAGCAGGTGGGCCAGGTTCCAGACTGGCTATTGCTGTCCTAGGGGCTTACTCTTTTGTTCTATTGATACCAATGTGGAAAGGGATCCTTCAGATAATAAATAAAATTGCCCTCAGAAGCCAAGATGGCAGCCAGAGAATTCAGGTGGTATATACCAGAAAATCACTCATGTGTATCAACTAAAAAACCCCAACAAACAAATCACAACCAAAACCAGTTAAGGTCTACTTGGGAGGGGGGGAAGGAGAGGTAAGAGATAGTCATATTTATGACCAAAGAGTATAAATAGCCCTATGGTATTTCCCCCTGGTTTCAACAGTGACCTGAAAAAGTTGTCTAGAATTTTAAGTATTTGAACATTTGGTTCTATTGTATTTAAGGAAGAACATCATAACATACCTTGCTAATATAATTCTCTGTTATTGAAAGGTTACAAGGACCAAAAAATTTTACTTGGCAGAAACAATGTAACAATCATTTTTGTGACCCCTTGGATCTTGGGATGGGCCTTAACCCTGAATCACTTGAATCCAATTACACAGTCAAGGTTACCGCCAAGAATAGCCTTGGAAGTTCTTCATTTTCATCCACATTCACATTTCTGGACATAGGTAATTTTATTTTGCTTTTGATAGGTGTCCTTCATTGGCATATAAAATTGGTTTTGAATATGTAATTGTTTCATTTGGAAACAGGGTTGATGAAAGTGGTATAGACAGAGTACTAGTTGTTTTAATCCAAATATTAAGACAATATCCCAAACTACATAGAGACGGCTATATGGGGTGGAGTATCAAACATTATTCTCTCTGTTGAGGAAATACAAGTTCCTAACTTCAAGTTTTTAAGACATCCATTTCATGAGGGAATCAACTGCCAAGGATATTACAATCGTAAGATTATTCAGGAAAATCAATCTAGGTCCTTTTTTGATGAAAGTGGTTTTTTTACCCCTATGGATACTCCCACTGGTCTAAGATGGCTACATGTTAGCCTGCTGGACTGGAGCAGCCATCTGCAAACCAGAAAGAAATGTATCAAGAAACAAATACCTCTTGACTGGAAATCTTTACCTCCGCCCTTCTTATCAGCTTGAGATTGGAAGTGAAGCAGCTCTGGCACATTCCAGAGCAAGTGCAATGGGCCCACTAAATTAGAGTCCAACTCAGGCATCCCTGAGTTCAAACCATCTCATGTAGGATCGAGTTTCTAGATTACCTGAAATTCCAACTTTCCACAGTGTGGCTGTCTTCTTTATTCTCCAAGCACATGTATGCCTAAAACCTGCTAATTACAGGAGTTGCTGCATGGATAGTTTCTGTATACTTTCCTACCACGCTTCTCCACACCTTACCTTCCATCTCTTACAATACACCGTTCGTCTCTAAACTATCTTCATTCTTCCTTTATTCTTGTCTTCTGATTTTGTCTTTCTCTACCCCTTTCCTTTGCATTTCTGACCAATATTTCTTATCTTTCTAGGAACAATCACCAGCAGCCAAATCAACTCTCTTAGCTCTTGGAATTGTTTGACATGCTGATTTTCTTTAAGTCATTGGATTACATAATGCTAACAACATCAAGATATTAATATTATTTTATTTGGCAAAACTGAATTATTGAAAAGAGCTTGAAGTGAATACAATTTTTCTTTTCTTTTGAAGACAGGAACTTCTTTCATATTTTGTCAAACCTATTTATTGTGCATCTTAGAACTATCAGCTCTTTACCTAATGGTAATACATAAGCAATTTCCACACATGGAGCCAATTACAACTTTTTGTCCTGGTTGCTAGTGAGACCTCTTCCTCCGTGGGACATTGGAATCAAATTTCTAAATACTTCTGAGAGAAGATGTCGTCTTCATTGGAGAGATGAGAGACTGGTGCTGCTTAATCGACTCAAATATCGGTCCAATAAAGACAGGTCCTGGCACATGGTAATGATTGTAACAGTGAAAATGAAGGCACCTTTAATAAAACTATACAGACATCTGCCTTTTCTTGTCAGTGAAATACAGGCCTATAAGCACACACTTGAGATACATCAGAAAATCAAGTCAACCCCCATTTTTTTAAAACTGTCTTGTATTTTGAATACTATTTTTGAAATCTTTAAGCCACAAGCTTCTGTCAGCCAATAGTAATTTTTCATGATTTATTTCTCATATAGGATTCTTTTCTCACAGTTATTAAATCCTTTTCATTATTATTTGTTAGCCTTCTCCTCCACATATCAGAAATATTAAAGAGTTCCCATAGAGGTTTTATATGGAACAGATATTCACAGGGTTAAAGCAATGTACTATTTTTTTATAAAGTGAGGTGTAGAATTATGATTATTTTCAGTATTTTTGTAAAATGCAATGATAATAATAATAAAGGATTGACTTCACGTAGAGCTGATATTGAAGTGATCTATAACTAAAGATTAGAGTCTTTTTGTTATATGTTTGCATTAAAGCATAATCTCAAATATAATTTCTCCCAGGTTCTTTAAAATTATAGTTTTTAATCTTTACTTATTGGTCAGTTGGTTCCAGGATCTCAGGACCCTTTTAGAAACAAAGTAGATGAAGTCTTAGTCCACAACGTTTTTTGTGTATCTTATTTTACGTTGTTGTGTGCCGTCGAGTCGTTTGTGACTCATAGCAACTCTATGTACAACAGACCTAAAATCTGCTCTGTCCTGTGCCAATTGCACCGTTTCCAATACACCCATCCCGATTACCCCAGTCACTGAATGAATCCACCTCATAGAGGGCCTTCCTCTCCTGCGCTGTCCCTCCACCCTACCAAGCACAATGTCCCTCTCCAAGGACCGGTCCCTCCTTACAACATGTCCAAATTATGTTCGACGGAACCTCAGAATCCTTGACTCCAAAGAGCCGCCTGGTATGACCCTTTCAGGGATGAATCTGTTTGTTTTCTTAGTAGTCCATGGTACCCTCAATACTTTTTCCCAACACCACTCAAAGGCGTCAATTCTCCTTCTATCCTCCTTAGTCATTGTCCAACTCTCTGATGCATAACAAGTGATTGAAAAGACCATGGACTCTATGAGTTATTATTATTTCAGATTAGTATTATGGGTACTTAGACACCCAATTATTGACATTTTTCCTATTGAATAGTAGACATGGGAAATACATCAAAAATTAACTGTCTGGCTTAGTTTCTTCTCTTTATGTTAAGAATATACAATCAATTTAATGCTATTGTGTATCTTTTAAAATCTTATTTCATTTAAGGTTAATATTACACATGCCAAAGGAAGACATGATTTGCTTGAGCTGAAACCATATACAGAATATGAATTTCAGATTTCCTCTAAGATTCATCTTTATAAAGGAAGTTGGAGTGATTGGAGTAAACCATTGAAGACCCAAACACCAGAAGAAAGTACGTGTTTTTTTAAAAATTATATGTATGAAAAGTGTTGTTGAGTACCATCAAGTTTGAAGTGACCCTTAGCTGACCTCTGGTGGGTTTTTAGAGGCAGTTAATTGCACAGGAGGAGATTGCCCATCCTTCTACCATGGTGCAGCTGGTAGCCTCAAACCATTTGTTTTAGAATTGCAGTGCAACTTTAAATAGATAGATAGATAGAGGATAAAGTGAAGGAGATTGCGTGAATCCACTCCAATTCAAAGTCAGTGAGAGAGCAAATATTAAAAATAATTAAAGTTAAAAAAAGAATAATTAAAATATTAGTTTATCCCTTTCTAATGTTTTCCTACTAATATTTCTAACTTGTAAGCTTTTAATTTATCTTTAAATTGCCAATTATACTATAAATATTTTTATCCACAATGTTTACCTTGTGAATATAATATTGTTTATATTTTCAAAGTTGGGGGGGGGAGGGAAAGCACATCAACTTGAGTAGCCTAAGATACATGACTAAGATTGATAAGGGTAGTAAGTGCTAAATTCAGGAATTATCTAACTCTAGCTTTTGCCTTTAAACCATTATTTCTACTCTTACCATTAATGAGATATATTCCCCCCTGATAGATAGCAGTGTTCATTTTTTTTCTTTTTGTTAAAGTTTTACATTTTTTCAGATAGATTCCTTAGCTTATTAGTATAGATGCAAAATGTGTGATTTTTTAATTACAGTAAATACTTTCCCATAATTATGTGAGCTACTTCAGAGACATACTTTGGACATGTTGTAAGGAGAGACCAGAACTTGGAGAGGGACATCAAGCTTAGTGGGGTAGAGGGACAGCGCAGGAGGGGAAGACCCTCTATGAGGTGGATTGATTCAGTGACTGGGGTAATCGGCATGGGTGTGTCAGAGGCAATGTGATTGGCACAGGACAGAGCAGGGTTTAGGGCTGTTGTACATAGCGTCGCTATGAGTCGCAAACGACTCGATGGCACATAACAACAACAACAACTCCAGAGTATTCAGTATTATGACATAATAAAAATAGACAAAGTCCTGGACTTCATCAAGCTCATATTCCAGATGAGAAAGATAAGATTAACAAATAAAAAAGTAACATTTCAAAGATTGGTGTTATTGAGGAAATGAAAATAACATGTTAAGAGCTGGAATAGCTCTCCTTTCTTGGGAAGTCAAGGAAAGGTTGCTTCTATGCGGAGGTCCTGGTCACCAGATGTGAGGATTGTCCTGGACAGAGATCGGGGCAATCTCCTCCTTCACTCTTCTCCTCTCACCCACTAAAGGCAGTTCTGGGAAACCCCTTTTTAGAATGCGTTTGTAATCTTGCTGACTTGAAAACAGGCTTGAAAATGAGACATAGTCCTCATGAATAAATTGAAAAAGACAAAAAAAGCCAAATTTGAATGGAGAAAATGCCAGTGATGTGAAGATCTAAGAGGAACCATTGGAAATGGGCAGATGAGAGGAACCATTGGAAATGGGCAGGTGCCAGGCAGATTAGAAGAGGTTTAAAAGGTAGAGTAATGAGTTGAATATTTTTTCCCTAAATGTTATAGCATGGGCTTGGTGAGAGAAATGAAGCTGGAGAGAGAATGATTGAATTTTGCACAATCAATGACCTATTCATTGCAAATACATTTTATAAGAAACATAAACTCAGGTTATACACATGAATCTCACCTGATGGTGTATGCGTAGGAATCAGATCGATTACATCTGTGGAAAAACCGTTGGAGAAGCTCAATATCAGCTGTGAAAACTAGGCCAGGAGCTGACTGTGGAACAGACCACCAGCTACTCATATGCAAGTTCAAGCTGAAGCTGAGGAAAATTAAACTGAATCCACGGGAATCAAAATATGACTTGGAGTTCATCCCACCTGAATTTCAGAACCATCTCAGGAACAGGTTTGAGGCTTTAAACACTAATGAGTGAAGACCAGATGAGTTGTGGGAGGATGTCAAATGTATCATCCAGGAAGAGTGCAAATGGTCATTACAAAGACAGAAGAGAGAAAAAAAGACCAAAATGGATGTCAGAAGAAACTCTGAAGATTGCACTGGAGTGCAGAGAAGCCAATGCACAAGGA